AAAAAAAACTGTGGTATATATACAATGGACTATTACTTAGCATTAAACAAGAATAAAATTATGGCATTTGCGGGTAAATGAATGGAGTTGGAGAATATTATGCTAAGTGAAGTTAACCAATCCCCAAAAACTAAAGGCCAAATATTTTCTCTGATTAGTGGATGCTGATCTATGATGGGGATGGGGCATGGGAAGAATGGAGGAACTTTGGGCAAAGGGGAGGGTGGTGAGGGGTTATCGGGTAGGAAAGATGGTGGAATGAGATGGACATCATTACCCTAGGTACATATATGATGGAATGAATGACGTTCTTGGTCACACGTTTCTGTACAACCAAAGAATTGAAATGTTGTGCTCCATTTGTGTACAATGAATTGAAATGCATTCTGCTGTCATGTACAGCTAAGGAGAACAAATAAAAATAATGGTAAAAAGAAAAGTGTATCAGACAAAATACCATTAGAATATATACTACACGGGGCATTCAAGAACAATCTTCTCTCCAGATGAAGTTGTTCCTAACTCTGAAACTGTAAAGTTACATTTTAAAAATCTGGGGTGGTGGCTCAGTGGCAGAGCGCTTGCCTAGCATGTGTGAGGTACTGGGTTTGATCCTCAGCACCATATAAAACTAAATAAATAAAATAAAAGTATTGGATCTATCTACAACAACAACAACAAAATATTTTTAAAAGAATACCCATCAGTTAACATATCCACTGTTTTGGGAAGAATTCTCTTCTTGAAACTCTTCAGAGAGGGGTGGTAAAATGGGGAAGCCAGACTCTAAGTCATAGTGCATTAAACTTCTGATTTCTGAAATCATTCTGAATTGGTTTCGCTGGGTAAGGTTGCCCCTTAACATGTCGATTCAAGGATTCTGTCATTGACTCACTGCATGGAGGTCTGGTGACATCGATGCCAACTGCATTGCTACCATCCAAGACGACCACCCCCACCTGCTCTCTGCAGCCACACTGCTCTGCCTTTGGGACCTGCTGTAGGAGCAGGCTATTCCTCAGCTCTGTGGTGCTCTTGGTCACACGTTTCTGGAGTTTCGGAAGAGTAGAGAGTCCCGCAGGCACAGCGCTACCTCTATGCAGACACGTGAACCACAGAAATTCATTTCTACTCCACCACGAAGCGCCCTGTCGTGTTGACCCGGACACAGAAACATGGAATTGAAATCCACAGGGCACCTTGTAAGAGTTCTGACCTGGGCAGAGTAGGCCTCGTTGCTGCTTCCTGTTGGCAGTTCTTCTCATTCCCCTTTCCTCCCAACTTCAGACGCAAAGCTCTGGGGATATCTAGAGGAGTCTGTTGAAGTAGACTTCAGTTACTTTGCATCATTTCTGTATTCAGAAGGTTTTAAAAAATCCTTCATTGAGTGTTTTTTTTTTTTTTAACAAAATTCACAAGGCTCAGATGAAATGCCCTGCTCCTGTGGAAGTCACGTACTGGAACACGAGATTCCTTACGACACCAGTCCACGCAAGGCAACCTTACACAGATTCATAGGGGACCTGAAAAAGGACGGTGTTACCACCCAGGAAGAGGATGTGAAGCAGCCATGACGTTATTGTGGAGAAAGAAGGCGTCCGTGTTCTCGATTGGCTTCTTGGTGGTGGTGCACCACTGTCTGACCACATTGTGGGCGACTGGTTCAATCTTGTAAAACTAGGATTGGTCTGGAGGCTGGGTGGAGTGCACTGGCCTAGGCCATGGGCTAGCTGGGCACACCAGGTGAGCCTAGGGGCTGCCTCTGCTTGGGGGGCCTGAAGGCAAGGTCCACAGGGGTTGGCCTAGTGACTGGGGCTTCCAGGCACAGCACAGAGCCTGAGGCCACCCGGGCTGGTTTAGCAAGTCTGACATAGACTTGTTTAAAATCTATTTTTACCAACAGTTAGAAACCTGACTCTGATCATTTATTTATTTGCTTGTTTGATCTTGTTTACATGTAAAGTTGTTTCAGAACTGTGAACACAAACCTCCCATGAAGAATTTACCAGAGACCTCTCCAAAAAACTCAAAGAAAGGCCTGCTTGCCAATTCCCAGGTTGAAATGGCAAGTGAGAAATGAACTTTTATTCTAAGAAGCCCAGGAGATTCGTTTATCAGTTCTAAGATCATTAAATGGGGTGGCAAAAAATCGTAAGCTTATGTACATTATGGGATGGAAACAATTTTGGGGATTATAATAAAGGTAGTCAGAGATAGTAGGATGAAGGGGGAAGGAAAAAAATTTCCCACTCTTGGTAAATGCGTATATTTATCAAAGGTTTCCTCCGGCTCACTTCTCAGTAAGAATAGCTCAGCAGTCCCACGGTCCCACAACACTGCCCTGGGTTCTCTTAAACATCTCCCAGTGGACACAGGTGGTGGGCCAGTGGGAAGTCCAGATTCTCACAGGTTTTCAAGGTATTCCTGTAAGAGAAAGAGGAAAAATTTAGACAGAGGCCAAGAAACTCTGAGAAACAAGCATTAATCCCCAGGCTTGACCGTGCCCACACCTGCCAGCCGACAGGCAGGAATTTCTTAATGGAACAACAGAAAGTGTCCACCCTTGACCCGGTGAAGGGTAGGGAGCTTTGGGCCTGGCTAAGCCAAAGGGGCCCACAGGAAGTCTGACTGCGCGCGGAGGCAGTGGTCAGAAAGCTGGACTAGCAAAGCGGAAGAGCCCTGTACAGACCGTGACGATTACCTAAGGACGGAGGCTGTGGGCTCTCAGCTCTTTCTTCCCACTTTGTATTTGCCAGTGAGCTGCTTTCCAGGTTTCGGGGACTTTTGCCTCCTACTATTTCTGTGTCTTGGGTTTGGGAAACTCCAGTCATTTGTTTAGGAATCATGGGCTCCGAAGAGAGGGCGGTCGTGGGTGAAGGCACAGACCCAACCACGCAGCTCCCAACTCACTTTTTCCCAGCAGATGTTACCACAGTAGGTCCAGCAGCACACGTGGTTCTTCTGGGCACATTTGAAGGTCCTCGAGCACTTCTGGGCACAGTCTACTATGTTTGGCTCTCCTGAGCACTCCTCCACCAGCAGCTCATCTCCCGAGAGTGGAACTTAAAGAGGTGGGTAAGGCTGCGTCATTGCCAGACCTAGAGAAGGAACCCTCCATACACTGCTCCTTCTAGAATCTTTGCCCCCAGCCCCCAGCCAGCTATCTATCTGCCTAAAAAGAAAATTCCCTTTCTGAGCCTCCTCAGCTCCCACTCAGAGCTGCCTCTTCGTGGACCACGTTGTCCCCCCGGCCCCCAGGTCCCACCAGTGTGGCAGGTCCTGGGCCCTCTTTGAGCCTCCTGGAGACCAGACTCCGCAAACCCCAGCATTCATGCCTCCTCCCGTGAAATCTGTGCTAACTTAACAGGAGATTCCAGGGTCTGGCAGCAGAGCAGAGACCCAACTTTCTCCCTCCTTCTCTTCCTTGCTGCCTCTGCCTTTCAGAACTCGGTCTCTCTCCAAATTCTTATCTCTCTTGGTCAATTTTCTTAGTCTCTCCAGTGATTTCATTTTATTCTCATGCCTCTTTGCCATCTTGTCACATGCTGAAAGGTGCGTATACATTGCATGCCCATTTGGTCCTCATCAGAGCGAACATATTAGGGCAAGAGCTTATGGAACTACGGAAAGTAGAACAGCTTTGTATCATCACCCAACCTCAAAGACGTGGGGAATCATCATCTCCATAGCTGACAGAATTTGTATAACGTTGAAAGTTGCTCATTGCTCTTTTCAAGGCGGGAAGAGGGGACACCAAAGGACCTCAGCTTGGGAATGTCTTAGATCTCTGTGCATATCAAAGTGATTCTCCAGCAGGTGATTCTGGGAATGGGTCCTGAGTCAGGTCCACCAGATGTGATGCCCCTTCACTTGCTCAGGAATGAGCACTGCCCTCTCCTTGGGTTCCCAGCGCAGTCTCACCACCTACCATCATGTTTTGACTTCATTTCTCCCAGCACGCACAGCAGCACCACACAGAGGAGTGTCAAGGACAGGGGCATCCGGGACTTCATGATGCTGACCACGGGAGCAGAGTATGCTGCGAGGGAGATTTCTTTTCCTTCCCAGTTGAGGCTAGAGATCAAGAGGTAAAGAGAGGGAGGTAAGGGGTGGGTGGAGAGAAAGTGCTCATAGACTTTCTTCACACTTTACCTTCTGGCTGTCCTCCGTCGCCCTCTACCCCCCGCCACAGACTCACACCTTAGCGGAGAGCTGCCTTTGCCCCACGCCGTCTTTTCATCTCCCAGCTCATGCGTTCCTTTTTCCTGAGTAAGACATTTTTTAAATGTCTTGCCTTCCCTTGATTAAAAGGTAATTCAGACTCGTCTTACAAAATACTTAAAATATAAAACGCACAAAAAAGAAAGCGAGATATTTCTAGTGACTTACTGTTTGGGCCTATGGTATTCCACTCTACATATGTGCCTGGATAGGTATATGAATCGTTTCATAAAATGGAAATCACATGTGATTTTTTTTTTTCATTTCAACTTAAAGACTCCCTTTGACACTTCTCGTAAGGCAGTGTAGTCTGGTGAATTCCCTCTTGTTTTTATTGAACCTTTCTTCAACGTATCTTTTTACTTTTATGGACACAGAGTCCTACGTAGTCATGAGGTACAAGATACGTTTTGCTTCATGAACCCACGGGATAATCATCAACTCCAGTAATTAGCATGTCAATCACCTCAGACCTCCATTTCTTTATAGTGAGTGCATTCAGATTCTTCTCTTCTAATTTGAGATATGTAATGGATTATTGTTCATTGTATGCACCCTGCTGGGCCCAAGAACACCAGCCCCCCTTCCTTCTCCTCAAACAACCATTTTGTACCCACTGACCAACCTCTCCCCATCTCGACTCCTTTCCCTTCTCCTCGGCGTCTGCTAAACACTATTCTACTCTCAACCTCGATGGTATCAACTCTTGGGATTTCACTTATGAGGAAGATTGTAAGGTGTTTGTCTATCTGTCCCTCACTTATTTCACATAACATAATGTGCTCCAAGTCCAAATGACAGGATTTCATGCATTTTATGGCTAATAGTATTCCACTGGAGATATATATCTGGGAAACATTATCTTCATAGCTTACATATATATGTAAATATATATAAAATGTCCATTCAACTGCCAGGACTTTTATTTTGAATATTGTGAATAATACTGCAACAAACATGGAAATGCAGGTGTCTTTCCAACATGCTGATTTCACTTTCTTTGGGATGTACCCAGTGGTGGGATTGCAGATTGTATCATAGTTTTGTTTCTAGTTTTTTCAGGAACCTCCATACTGTTCTCTATCATTGCTATACTAATTTACATTTGCACCAACAGTGTGTACATTTCCTCTTTGTCTACATATTCACTAGCTCGTTATTTTTACTTTGTCTTTTTGATAATAGCCAGTCTCCCTGGGATATGATGGTATCTCACCATGGTTTTTATTTCAGTTTCCTTAGTGATTAGTGATGTTGAACAGTTTTTCATACATCTCTTGGCCATTTTTATATCTTGTTTTAAGATACGTCTATTCATATTTTAACCTCTTTTAAAACTGGGTTATTTTTGTTTGTTTTGCTGTTGAGATTTTCTTGGTTGCTTAGGTATATAGTTTGTAAATATTTTCTCCCGTTCTGTAGGTTATCTCTTTGTTGTGTAGATTGCTCCTTTGCTGTGCAGAAACATTTTAGTTTGATATGGTATTTGTCAATTTCTGTTATTTTTGTCTGTATATCTGGGCTCCCAACCAAAAAATAACTGCCTGGGGCCAATGACCCAATAATTTCCCTTATATTTTCTTTTTTTTTTTTTTAAAGACGAGTGGGGGGGAGAGAGAATTAATTTTTTTAATATTTATTTTTTTTAGTTTTCGGCGGACACAACATCTTTGTTGGTATGTGGTGCTGAGGATCGAACCCGGGCCGCACGTATGCCAGGCCAGCGCACTACCACTTGAGCTATATCCCCAGCCCACAAATGATCTTTTTAATGTGCCACTGAATTCAGTTTGCTAGTATTTGGTTGAGCATTTTTGTATCTATGTTCATTAGAGATATTGACCTATGGTTTTCTTGTTTTGTTATGTCTGTATCTGGTTTTGGTATCAATGCAATGCTGACCTCAGAAGGAGTTTGAAAGAATTTCCTCCTCTTCAATCTTTTTGAGTAGTTTGAGGAAAACTGATATTAGTTCTTTAAACGTTTGGTAGAATTCTGCAGTGAAGAGATCAGTCCTGGGCTCGTCTTTGACGGAAGACTTTTCATTTCTGATTCAGTCTCGTGGTTTATTGTTTGTCCGTTCATGTTTTCTATTTCTTCATGATTCAAGTTTGGTGATTCATTTGCATCTCTACTTCTTGTTTTCAATTTTCTGTCTTAATTTGTTTTCTGTTACTAATACAGAATACCTGACACTGGGTGGTTTAGAAAGAAGATAAATTTTTGTGGTTCATGGGCATGGAAGCTGGGAAATCCAGAGCCCAGAGCCAGCGTCTGCTTGGCTTCTGTTGAGAACCTCATGGCAGATGGCAAATGGGTGCATGAGGAAGGGAGAAGAAAAGAGAAACTCTCGTGATAGCTTCCCCATGTCCATGGAAAAAGCATTAATCATTCCTGAGGGCTCTGCCCCCATGACCCAAACCCCTTCCTCGAGGCCTCACTATCTAACACTGCCACATGGAGCAATTAAGATGCAACATGAATTTTGAGGACAACCCCTATTTAAACTATGGCAAAGAAAGATGACAGATATTCCCTGAAATTCTCTCCCATTCGCCACCTTACTGAAGATTGTTGGTGCTGTCTAGACGTGGGCACTGGGGTCCGAGGGGCCTGGGCTTGATTCTCAACCTTAATACATTTAAATCCACAGAAATTCTGCGATTGACATAACAGTTTCTCCATCTACAATGTGAGTTCTATTAATGCCCACATTGCAAATGTTGAATACACAAAGCACTTGCATAGGGCCTGGCTCACAGTACTTGCAAAATAAATGTTGGTTATTATTATTAAACTTAGACTTCTTTTTCTCCCCGTAGAAGGGTAAAGGTTATTAAGTCTCATTGACTTTGTTGTGGACTTCAAAATTTTTATCAATTATTTATTTAATCTACTTGAAATAAATTCTTACAACTGAGTAAGGTTCTACCTTCATTTATCCAGCCTACATTCATTCAACCTACAAGGATTTATGTAAAGTGACTGCTGTAATCTAGGAACTATTAGAAGGACTCAGGGTACAGCTGTGAACCCGCCTCTCACTGAGCTCACTTCTAGCAGAGGAAACTGGGAGTAAAGGGGATCCAGAAAAGAAATACACAGTGTATCGGTGTGAAGAAGAACAGAATGAACTAGGAAAGGGTGTGGGATCTGCAAAGTAAACACAGTGTACGCAGAATAAATGCTGGCTCTTGTTTTAAGCAGCTCATTGGTGAAGCTGGGGCTTGAAAGAAGGAGGTTAAGCGTGGTTTGGTTTGGTTTTTTAATTTTGTTATAGTTGTAGATGGGGACAGAATGTCTTTATTTATTTTTACAGGGTGCTGAGGATAGAACCCAGTGCCTCCCACATGCTAGGCAAGCCCTCTGCCACTGAGCTGTGGCCTGAGCCCTAAGGGGTGTTTTTTTTAAAGCCCCAGCCCTTCTTTACTACTCTCTTATTCCCAGCTGTTTTTTTTTTCCTCTCCTGAAGGAAGATAGAAGACGCAGATGCAAGGAGAAGTCAATACAAAAGAGAAATCTGGCTATTACGTAGTCATGGAAGGCATCATGGAACCTGTTCCTGCAAGTGAACCATTTCCAAAAAAGTCTTTATTTTTGCTTCAACATTTTCAACCAAGCAGAAGAAAACCTACAGGCATTCCATGCATTCATTGAAATCCCTTCAAATCTCAAAATTGGGAATTTGCAATGGGCAAAATTTTATATATAGAATGTATTTATTTATTTAAGGTGCACAACTTTTGAGATGAGCTAAATTCATTTTCCTCTTGGCATATATGAAAGATTATAAAAAATAACAATAAATTTTGAGCCATTTGAAACTTTAAATGAATTGCCTTTAATTTTAAAAAAATAAAATAAATTAAAAAATTTAAAAAATTATTTTTTGGAAATAACTTCAAAGTTGCAAGAGTAAGAATAGTGCAAAGATCATCTATTGACCATTTACCCAGATTCACCTATTTTTAAGGATTTACCTCTGTTGCTTCCTCTCTGTTTCTGTCTCTATGTCTCCCTCTCTGTTTCTCATATCTTTTTTTTTTCTGAATGATTTGAGAGTAAATTTTATTTTCCATAGCTCTCATTTCTAATCGCTTCTGTAACAAAAGGGTAATTACCTCTTAACAAAAAGGTAATTCTCTTGATGATCATGGCATAAGTAGCAACTTCATTTAAATGCCGATAAAATATAATTTAATCTACTATGAGTATTCCGTTTTATCAATTTACCCGATAATATATTTGTCTACATTTGTTGAAGAATACAGCCAAACTTTTCTTTTAATTGAACATTCCTGACTTGGGGTTGGTCTGAGATTTATTCATAATTAGATTCAAGGTAGATCTTGTCCATGGGACCACTATGTGGCGATGTGGAGGCACCCAGTGCCCATCCATGCCAACCTTCTCTGTTTCTCTACTCGAACAACAAGAGCAACAATTAATCCCATAAACAGTGCCGGTGTGAGGGGACAGGACGTGCACTGGGGGCCCAATGAAGCAAACCCAAAACGAGAGCTTTCACAGGCTCTCCCACTTACAGCCCAGGACGTTCATCTCCACTCACCTCTGAAGGTGTCTGACCGGAGGTGCTGTGTAATTGTGTGGCCAGCAGCTCTTTGACCTCACCTGCAGGCCTGTGGGACCCAAGCACTCAGGGTAAGTGAGGAGCAGAATGAATTCCCATAACGCAGATTCTAATCATCCAGCTGGCTGTGACAGATCTGCGAGTTCTGTTCCAAATCATAAATTGGGGACATACAGAACATTGACCCTGGTTTTCTATTCAAGGAGTGTTTTTTTTTTTTAATTCATTTTGCTGCAGGCAAAATAGACAGAGAGAGAATGATGTGAACCTGCCGGACTCTCCTCCCCTGAGACACGCTCACAGCAGTCTGGGTGACTGTGGAAGTAGAGAAAGGATCTAGGAATATCTTTTTCTTTTTCTTTTTTTTTTTAAA